AACGATAAACCAGAGTTCTTCCCAAAGTTAGTTGCGTGCCTATAATAGATAGGACCGAAAAAGAGTGTGTTACATTCACATGTTTGACTTTCCTCATTTCTCCAGAATATTATCTTAAATATTTTACTGCAGCAGTTGATGGACAGAACTAAGAATAGCTTGTAAAGTTCATACAATAATTTAAAGGAAAAGAAAAAAGCAAGTCTACCTAAGTAAAAAAGTAAGACAACCTAAAAAGGTTGTCACCTCTAAAAAGGTGACAAGTAAGTCTAAAAGGGTAAAAGAGTATGACACGTAGAACATTTTTAATGGGGATGGGGCATGTGTTTAGAAAAAATATAAATGTGGTTTTTTTGTTTGTTTGTTTGTTTGTTTGTTTGTTTTTTTGAGACAGTCTCGCCTTTGTTGCCCAGGCTAGAGTGAGTGCCGTGGCGTCAGCCTAGCTCACAGCAACTCACACTCCTGGGCTCGAGAGATCCTCTGCCTCAGCCTCCCGTAGCTGGGACTACAGGCATGCGCCACCATGCCCGGCTAATTTTTATATACATATCAGTTGGCCAATTAATTTCTTTCTATTTATAGTAGAGACGGGGTCTCGCTCTTGCTCAGGCTGGTTTTTGAACTCCTGACCTTGAGCAATCCGCCCGCCTCAGCCTCCCAGAGAGCTAGGATTACAGGCGTGAGCCACCGCGCCCGGCCTATAAATGTGTTTTAAAACATTAGTAAGTGATACAGATGATTGACTATTTTATATTTCTTAATTCTAAAGGATTAATACAGGCTTCATAGAATAATAGAATGTACTTATATTTAAAGGGTTCAGGAAGGTGGTGGTGCTCACCAGGAATTTGGGGGTTTGGGGGGGTAGTCCCGCATCTGAGGGATGTGGTGAGCATTGTTAAGGGGAAGGACATACCTCTACACATTGCTAAGGAGAGGCAAAGATATAAAATGTAACCAACATGTTAAAAAAAACACATTTAGCTGTGTCAGGCAGGTGGGAGGGGGAGGAGGGGATGGGTATTTACATACATGGTGAGTGTGATGTGTGCCACATGGGGGATGGACACCCTTGAAGCTCTGACTCCACGGGGTAGGGGAGGCAAGAGCAATGTACCTAACCTTAACGTTTGTATCCCCAAAATATGCTGAAATAAAAAAAAAAATCACACACAATGAAAGGGTTCAGGGAGCATCATCTTAGATATTGTGTGTGTGTGTGTATCTGTGTGTCTGTGTGTGTAAGCTCTCGTTATGTTGCTAAAGCTAGTGTTCAACTCCTGGGCTCAAGTGACCCCCTACCTCTTCCTCCTAAGACCTAGGAATACAGGTGTAAGCCACTATGCCTGGTCCCAGATTTTATATTAATGACCCAACTGACATTTGTTTTGATTACAGGAGACAAGTAATACTGATGTTTTCAGTTTATAAAGAATAGGGAGAAATGCAAACAAAGTAAAATAGCATAATTCAATTTGCACATATGAAATGCGAAAATAAAATGTAAATGCTTCAACAGTGCCTGAGACATTCGTGGTACTCAATGAGTTCCTTTTCCCTGCATAGAGAACTTATAAAAGAACTTAGGTTAGAATACTTTCCACTAGGAATAAATGTCTTTAGCCTATGACATTTCATAAGTTTGTTTGCATATAGAAGAACCCATATGCAAATTCATTATTTAGGTCACTTAACTGTTGGTTTCATATTTCACACTTGAAGGATTATTTGGGCAAGTCTCATCAACATCTCAAATTTCTGTCTTTCCTTGTAAAATTTTATATTGAATCATATATGTACTGAAATCTAACAATTTAGAGAATTTGGTGGTCTGAGAAATCTTCCTTTCTTGCTCCATTTTACTAAATGTAACTGTGATGAGTTCATGACAAAGGATCTTTGGAGAGAGGGGTTGTTTTGCTGCTACCAGTTTGTGAATACCAGTCAGGAAAGTAACAATCTTCGTCTTAAGCCCTAATTTGTTTTCTCATTTCTTACATACAGAGTTTCAATATGCCAAAACATACCCAGCATGACACGAGAAGACCATGACTTCACCAAATAATCTGTTAGCTGGTATCTGGATATCACCATTTACTAATGGTGCAGGATTAGGACATGACATTTCTAGGAAAGAATAAAAATTTTTTTTTTCATTAAATTATCAGGCACACATACAAAAAGCTCAATACGTGAAGTAGTGGATATGTTAATTAGCTTGATTATTGTAATCATTTCACAATGTATACATGCATCAAAAATCATGTACACGGGGGGGAAATGGGCATTTATTGAAACCTTAAAATCTGTACCCCCATAATATGCCGAAATAAAAAAAAAATCATGTACACCTTAAATAACATAATTTTATTTTTCAATTATACCTCAATAAAGGTGGCAAAAAGTTTTCAAAAAGTTATCACACACACATATGCAAATTCATCATCTGAAACATTGAAACTTCTATGCTTACATTTCCTTATTTCCACCTTTGTACCATTAAAAACAAAGCAACATCTATATACTTATTTTGAGTAACCTCAAATTAATACATGTGAAATTTGTGAATGAATAAGAATTGGTACCACACATTTTGTCTAATTTAAAATAAATTATCGTGGTTCTTTGAAAAATCATTCTGAATAATAATATATTCACATACAGTTCTTGCATGAACAAAGGAAGATATATTCTTTCCCCGAAATACCAAATGATTGAGAATACTTTCTTTGGGAAGCAGGGGGCCAAGTTTCCAACACAGGGAATACTTTAAAAATTATACTCACTTGTACAAAACTCAGATAGTCTGGTCCATCCTATCATTGGACGGCAAGCTATTTGTCGTTCATCAGAGACTTTTCTGTAGCCTGGACGGCACTCATATTCCACAGTGGCGCCTACTGCAAACACAGTCTCGTTCCTATAAGGCTCTGAGAGCACTGCAAAATCTCGATCTGGTGGACTACTACACATAGCTGAAAGTATTTTAAAAAGCAACAACAAAAAAATTAGCATCATTTTTTATTTTATATCCTATGTTTAATAATCTGGAATGATTGGGACCTTAAATGACCCCCTTTTCTTTACTTCTTTGCATATATTTGGTATTTATCTATATTTATATCACTATGGCATTTGCAATGTATCAAATGTATTCACATGTTTTATTTCCTAGTTACTAGCGGTCTGCGAAGAATATTTGGTAAACAGATGTTGTTATACCCAATTTTCAAAAAAATGTAACCCATTTAATTGCCTGGCACAGTTCTGGCATTCTATAAATCTCAGTTCCCTTATTTGCCCTAAGAAATTACAGAGCATATAAGGTACAGGGATAGATGAGAATGGATATTCCCAGACTCCTGGACTAACGTCAAGCAAAACAGCAATTCAGAGTAATAACAATACCTAGTTTTAAAGGATATATTTAATTGTTTTACACATAAACTCATTTAGTCCCTACAAGAAGCCATGGGGACAAGGATCAGATAAGCCAACTGTGTGTACAAAGTGTTTACATACTGTAAACAGCCAGGCAAATGTGGATATAGAAAGGCATGGGAGAGTGGAAGGGGCACTGGATTTGTAGTCAAAAGGCCCAATTGAGCCTCAGTTCTTTGCAGAAGAACTCCTGATCTCAAGGACATTATCTACCTTCTGGGGACCTGCTTCCTCAATTGTAAAATGGGGATAAGAATCCCTACTAACTAACTTCATGAGGTGGTTTGGAGGATTAGATAAAGTACCTTGTGGAAAAGTTACAAACTCTAAAACATGATACATGTGTAAAGGCTTATGTACTTCATCATACTGTCTCTATCATGCATACATAAAAAAGTTAAAGCCCATTTCACATATGGTTTCAAAAAGTATTTGTAGCAGTTTCTATATTTACTGTCACTTCAGAGCTATTCAAAGGCAGGTATCAAGTCTTATCTCTTTTTTTTTTAACTGTATCTTTACTTGTATATCTTTATCTTTACTTGTATATCTAAAAGCCAATATAGAACTATGTATATAATAGATTTTTTTTCCTCCAAGATAATGCTAACGTATATTCAACTGAAAAAAGGGGCCCATGAGATGTGGATGACGCAATGCATATTTACTCAAAGCAAGAAATATTCATTGCTTTCATTTCTATTGGCTATCTTAGTATTCAACACCATTACTATGTTGACTCTAAAACAATTCTTCACTGGGCCTCTCGGTTTTTTAAAATTAATATAGGTATTTCACAGCAATCAGAAGATGTGGGATGTTCTCAACACAAAGTGATGATAAATGTTTTAGGTGACGGATATCCTGATCACCATGATTTGACACATACACATTGTATGTATGTGTCAAAATAGCAAAGGTACCTTGGAAATATGTGCAATCATTCTAATAGATTCTGAAGTAAATATTAAGAGCTTTTAAAAATGCCACAATAGAGTTGAATTTGGTAAGTCCTACTTTACAAAATAGAATTTAAGAAAACAGATCCCTATGTTATGTCTCAAGATAATTGCCAAATATGTTCATGAATAATTACTCTCTAAACAGCACTTTTTGTTTATATTCTCTGTTAGCCTGTTCAGCGGATAAACTGTTAGGGAGAAAAACTCTTAATAAAGAAGTAGGACCTTCTCAGGAAACTAATGCCTTCCAGTAGTTGGACTGTCAGGGGCCTATATAGTATCCCGTGGGGTTTAATAATGCTATAAAACTATCAATTACCAATCACTCCAAAGCAATAAAAAAAAAGTTAAGATACATTCTAATCCCATCAATTTTCTAAAAAGAAATGAATTTATGATTACAGAATTCTGAAATCTGTGACCATTGATCATTCTCAAGACAGATCACTCAGTCTGTCTGGCCAGGAACTTTTACAAAGCCTTCATAACATCTGTATGTTACTGTGCTATTCACAGGGAAATGTGAAAGACCTCTCAGGTCTGGGTGGGGATTAGGTACTTCAGAGGGAGGGATGCAATGACCTAGGAAGGAAAAAGGGGAACTGAAGGAAATACCTTTTTGAAATGCATGCATAGCAATATTGTTTCCCCAAGACTTAGAATAAAGGAAGCAGCAAAGGCTTTTGATAAACATATACTATTTCCACCCAATGCTCAACTGACAAACATAGAGAACATGCTAGGCTTCGTGTCTTGTCAAATAAGAGAAGACTAAAATAAGCCCAGAGTAAATAAATCCCACCTCTTCGTTATTAAAACAAAAGTGGCTTAGAATTTATCCAGTGTCCACGTACATGCCTTTGCTAGGCACACCTAAGACAGAGACCCCCTTGTTACACTGTACCTGAAGGAAATGACAGGAAAGTGGGTAGCGCCATGTGTGGCACCTGACAGGACTCTGTGCTGAGAGGCGGGAGCGGTCAGCTATTCGTCCTCCCACCCTTTTAGACAAGCTTGTTGGGGGAATTCACTCTCTTGGGAGCCCTCCTTTGCCTTTCCCAGGTCTGGCTGCTAGGCAAACTCAGCCAGGCTTCCTTAGCCTCCAGCCCGCCCCCTGAAGCCATGCAGCTGGTCCAGCCAGCAAGGTTCCCAAAAGCGCTGGCGGTGGGCTCCTCTTCCGGCCCCAAGGAATCGGAGACCTGGCCTTAAAGGTAGAGATTAGGGGAACAACGACCCAAGTCCACTTTCCTCACCTCCCAGGTCCCCAGGCCCTCTGCGTGGTCACGGACACCGACCTATTCCCCTCCACCTACCGGCCCCCCGCCACACACAGCCTAAGGGCTCAACCAACCGAAGGACATGCCGTCTATTATCTGCCCCCTGGTGGCTGGTGGCCACAGCAGCAGCAGCAGGTGCAGACCGCCAAGGACACGGAGCAATACCGAGGCGCTCGGGCCCGCAGGACGCATGGCGGGCGGGCACCGGGACCCGGCGCCGGGACTTCGCCCGGTTGGCAGCTAGAGAAGCCAGGGCGACCCGGGAGTAGCTCCCAGTGCAGTTAAATTAGCCGCTTGGGCGGGCGGGGGCTCTGTGTTCCCGACAGGGTGTGGCAAACAGCAGCACAGCAGGGGTTTGTTGAGGTCAAAGTGGCTGGGCGGGCTCCCGCCTCACCCGCCCCCGGGAAACCCAGACTGGGAAGATCGGTTCCGGGAGGTGCGACAGTACTCAGGTACCAGACGCAGTGCGTGTTTATTTCCACTGCCGCGGGTATGTATTATATGATATCTGCTGCTAAGAAAAAAAGAAAAAAACGGAAGCGACGTGGAGACTGTACTGCTTCAAATAGCAGAGCTGTGCCCCTGGACTCTGAATGTTTTTAGGGACCTGAATCCATTGAATGCAGCCAAGCTAGCAGTGAAATTCAGGACTGAGACATGGTGACCATGTGCCTTGAACTGGAGGTCTGTCAAATGTCAAGGTCAGGTTGGGGGAAAAAACAACTGAGTGCATTCTCCTAAGACACTCCCATAACCTAAAAACAGCAAGTGTGAAACGACCTAAGAAAACTGGTCCAGCTGCCTGGCGGGGAGGGATCATTGTTCCTACCATGTTTGGGCGGGAATCACGCTCTTCACCTGGGTTCCCCTATTTAGCGGGGACACCTCTTGAATCCCACCTTAGGATTGTTCTAGTCTGACTGCCGAGAGAAATTCACCACCCCGGGAGTGTTTGAGTGTGACAGGAGGGAGAAGATGACAACAAAAACAAACTAGCCCCAGAAAGTTAAAGGCTGTGGTGGATTTTAAGAGGAAGGTTTGTTAGAAGACCCTGAGAACAGCCTGCGGTTTGCAAGGCTGGCCACACATTAACATCACATGGGGATCTTTTTAAAAATCCAGATATCCAAGCTGCATCCCAAATTAAATCAAAATCTCTTGGAATCAGGAGTATTTACAGTGCTCCACTGTGCAGCTAGGTTTGAGAACCACAGATCTATATAGTACTGGTCAGAGTAAAGGTCTGTTCAGCCCAGCACTGCCCTTGTCAAAGATACTAAAGGATACTGATGGCAAGATGGGTTGCTCATCTTCCTGGAGAATAGCTCGAGAACAGGTTTCCCTTTAATAATTTACGTACGTCTGGTTAACAGAGTCCTAGGCTAGATTCCTTTCCCCTTAAATGGCTTACCTGCTTAGGTAAAATCCCTCAATTGCAGTTGTGCCTTGGACTACGGACCAGCTGTTGGAGTGTTTGTTATATCCTATCATGTTATTCTTTCCTGAATGCTTCTTGGTAGCTCTTCCTGGCTAGTGTGACTTTCCTAAAGAGGAAAAACCACAGTATCCCAAAATAGGGTTTTCTCTGACTCATGCTCATCATACTCAACCACACCCTGCGTTGTCTAGTGCTGGAACCAATCCTACAAGGATTCCAGGAAAGGGATTCCTATAGGCTTTCACTGAGACCTAACAGTATTCAAACATTTTAGAGTTTATATTTGGAAGGGAGGCGGGAGATTTTTAAACCATCAAGTATGGTCCTCATATTTGATATTAAACATCTTTTGCTCCCATATTTGAAATAAGGAAATCATTTCATAAATTAAATTGGTTTGTGAGTTCAGAATATGAAAAAGGAAAAGCTGTCCTCTCTCCGACGTTTCACAGAATACTACTACAAACATGCCAGGTTAGTCAGGATTCCCTTCCTGGGCATGCAAGCTAGATAGAAACCTAGACAGGCTTGCATGCTGAGAAGTGACCTTGGTTTAATACTCTACTGTCCGTATCTTGAAATTCTTGCATTTCCATATTGAATTGGGTTTTGTAAATTATATAGCTGGTCTTGATTTTAGTATATGCTTATATATTATTTCGTATGTGATTTTAATATATTATAGTATTTTTTTAAATAAAAAAAGGCTAAATTAAATGAGATATAGATCTTTGATAAATTATTATTTATACTACTATTTGAATTCATGTAAATATCAATACTCAACTAAACTGATTAAAGATGCTTTGCCAATGAAACGCCGATGCCATGCGGCTTCATTGACATACACGGAGGAAAAGAGGTCCTGAATTATTAGTTTATTAAGTCATAAATATGAAATGTCCGATTACAAATCTAAAGTGTAGTTTACTGTATCTCAAACAAGCAGCAGTACAATTAATCAAAGTATGTGCCTAAACTGTCGACACAGTTTTGCCATCTTAATGGTAAGTTTCGAGACGATTTCTCTTCTGATGCTCCTTTTATTCATCCAGTACCCATCTGTCCAACTTCTTTACCTTGATGATTTGTTTCAAATGGTCCAATATTGTTGGATTAGTAACGTCAGACCTTGCTGCTGATTGATGCACAGACTGAGGTGGATTCCCTTCCACTACAGCTTTCAGCACATGTTGTCCACCTTGGTCTCAAGTCGCTCACATGGCTCATTTTCAAGATTAAAGTCACCAGAATGGAACTTCTCAAACCATCCGAGTACTGTGCGTTCATTATCCACACTCTTCTCCAACACTTCGTTGGTATTTTGAGCTGTCTGTGCTGCACTGGATCCATGAGGGAAATCATATTTGAAAATAGCATACATTTTTGACTTATGCATGGCTCCAAAAAAATTGCTTTAAAAATAAATTTGACAGATGAAATCACAAGGCAAAACATCCATTTCCAAGAGGTACCTTTACAATAAAATAAAACAGGAAGTGTCAAAGTGAAATGTCAGTGATATCAACTGTCAAACTTAGTACTTGAGGAAATCAGACATTTCATACTTAATAACCTAATATCTAAATTATCCTCATGGCAGCCTTGGGAACTGGTTCATAAGTATGGAACACTGTAACTCGGGTCATCTGTAACCTGGGGACTGCCTGTATTCTAGTCCAAGCTAATACTTAAAATGTAATTGGCAATATGAGAAGAATATATGAAGAACCTAGAAATTAATGTGATTGCCTTTAGGTAAATCAATAACATCAACGTTCTAATAGGAGAGGATATGACATGTTTGAGAAAGTGAATATAATTTAAAAATAACTGAAAATGATTCCCACTAGGATAACCAAGGGGCAGCATTCTGAACTACTTATGGGAGGCAGGAAGGGAATATCTTATTTAGAAACCAAATATTCATATTTAAGAAAATAAATTTCAAATACTACATGAGACCAAAAACTTTGATAAATTATTTATTTCTACTTGGGAAAATAAATTTTTCTTTACATAAAAGTTTTCTTGTTTTATATGTAAAACCAATAGGTTTACTTACTGAAATAAATATACATAAATTAATTTTAATGTTACAAAGGAATAAAATGTACAATTTGGCTGTGAACATCTCACTTCAGAAATATAGAAGGTTTTCTTATGTTAATATTGTACCATCCCTGATACTTTTTTAAAAGAGATTAAGTCAAATAAGATACCTTACACTGAACTCATTTTGAAAAAAGAAAAGATTGTAGCATATTCATCTTACAAATAATGGGCTGTGTTTATACAACAAAAGAAGAATTAGTCTTTCATTCTATGCTCTTCCCTTGCCACCACCAACACTCTTTGTTGATTAGCAAGTTTTTCCTGCAAAATATTTTGCCAACCCATTCAGGATCATTTTAATGGAATAAGGAAGAAAATGCTTTACAGGCCAGGGATTATTCTATAGCGTGATTCATCGTTCTTCGGCAACTTTGCTTAGAAGAGACCAGATTCAGTTTTTTGTTTGTTTTTGATATCCAAGTAATGTTTTACATTTTAAAATTTCTTTTTTAAGTAAGAATATTACATATCTACTGAAAAAAAATCACTTATTTTCTTTTCTTCATGTTCCCATTCTAAGTATGAACAAATCTCTACACCTTGCTATACTTTTAGGAAAATAATCACTCTCAATTCTGTGAGTTGTTGTTCTATTTTCAAGAGGCGTTAAGTATGTTAAGTGTGTGATTCCAGGGTGAACTCCTTTCTCCTTGCTTTGTTGAGTTTCCTAACACATGTTAAAGACAATGGTAACGTTCAAAATGAAGAGCACTATAGAATTTATTGTATCCATTCCTGCAGATAGGTCTAAGTAATGAGGAATAATCTGTGTACATGTGTGCACTTTCTTCTTAACTCTTCTTTGGCTAGGTCAGCTGGCCAGTGATTACTAGCATCATGAGCAAAATGGTCAAAGTTAAATATGTGTGCCCTGAAAAATAAAAAAAATAAAAAGTTAAATCAAAATGATTTTATTAACTAGAGAGAAACACTGATTTTTAGTTACTATGTGATAAATTATCAAAAAGAATCGGTTAATGTAGGGTGCAAAACAAATGAAAAATTAATAAGTTATAGAGAATAACAACTTCCTACAGGTTTAGTTTAGTAGCTATAGCAACAGCTAAAATGTGACAGTTGAGTTTTAGTTTCTTGACATTAATAGTGGCCAACCTAGAATCAATTAACATATACATTCAGATTAAAAGTCAATGAATTCCTATTTCAGGGATATGTTAAAAAATATTTAAATAAATAAAAATTAAAAAGTCAACAAAAGCCCCCTGAATACTACATGTAGAATAGAGGAAAGAGTCATTAAGAGACTAAGAAAGTTTGAAAGATACATTCACATCAAGTTATTTTTGTGTAATAATTTTGTATAAAGACATAAAAGAGATGTCTTTTAAGATCTATAAACATGACCTACAAAAAAGATATCTTAATACATATTGTCATATTTCTTAAATGCTGAAAACTCTAAAAGCCAACAAGCAAAAGGAGAACCATATACAAGATAGGCCAAGCATCTCATGACTCAAATTGTCATAATGAAGGCGTTCTTTCTAAATTCTACTGTATAATCCTTTGCCCCCCACAATATTTGTGCCATTATAACATTATAATAAACTGAGTGCAAAGCACAGGATGAGATAACCATACTGTTAACATGAAATAGTTCTGGCAATAGTAGAAATGTAAGCCTCTGTTAACCTTTATAAGTCATGGAGAAAGCCCAAGACAACTGTATTAGTGGATATTCTAAAATCATAGAAATATGATTTTATTAAATCACATATATCTTTTATAATTTACCAGAAGATCTTATTTCTGAGGTACCAGCAGTCACACTTAAGTATAAAACATAACATTGTTTCGTTGTTCCTATGTATTTTATAAAAGCTGACTAGTAGAGAAGGAAAAAATAACTGAATTACATAATTTTAATTTAAAACAGCAGAATTAAGCAGTTGTTTACACTCCCATCCCTAAACTAGAATTTATCATAGAAATGCAATGCTTCTAAAAGAAATAAAGAAATCCTTTGCTAGACAAACACAAAGAATTGCTAGATGAAGTTACATTCTCACTTTCATACTCATTAACTATATCCTTTATTCTATATAAGGAGAAATATTTGATTAAATGAGTATGAGATCAAAAGGCTAACCAGGCTTATATAAAGTTAACTCATACCCTCCACACCTTATACTTCTGAAGTAAGGGAAGTGGAGTGTTTTTTATATGTACACTTAAAAGGTAAATTCTTAGAGGTTTCCAAGAATTTCCCTCTGATTCAGAAATTGAACAAGTAGGTTTACCGCATAATTCCCAAATAAAATGCAAAAGAAATACAGTAGCCCCCTCATCCTTGGTTTCAGTTACTGGCGGCGACAATGAGCCCGAAAACGGCGGCGACGATGAGCCTGAAAATAGGTGAGCACAGTACAATAAGATATTTTGAGAGAGACAGACCACATTCACATAACCTTTATTACAGTATATTGTTATAGGTGTTCTATTTCATTATTAGTTGCCATTAATTTCTTACAGTGCCTAATTTATATGTTAAACTTTATATCACTGGTATGTATGATAGGAAAAAAAACACATTATATATAGCAGGCGTCCTCAAACTATGGCCCACCGGCCACATGTGGGTGTTTTTGCCTATTTATTTTTTTACTTCAAAATAAGATATGTGTAGTTTGCATAGGAATTTGTTCATAGTTTTTTTTAAACTATAGTCTGGCCCTCCAATAGTCTGAGGGACAATGAACTGGCCCCCTGTTTAAGAAGTTTGTGGACCCCTGATATATAGGGTCAGGTTCTATCTGTGCTTTCAGGCATCCACAAGAGTTCTTGAAATGTAAGCCCTACAGACAAAGGGGGGGATACAGTATTCTCCTGCTTTCTAAATTCTAGCACTTTTTGTCCTATTAAAAGTATCATTACCAATCACTTTCCCAAAGTACATGAAGAAACTGATGGAAGCCAGGGAAGACCTGGCAAATCTCATTCCACCCCTTCCTGACCCACAAAATCCGAAAGCACTAGCCTTGGTAAACCAATAATACTCTATATATTGGTAATTTATAATTTGATAATTGATAATAACTATTTAAAAGGGAGATCTGGAGCAAATGAAAAAATGTACATAAGATTGGTGGTTTAATTTTTTTGGAGTAGTTTTGCTGAGGCTTCTGTACCAATTTCACTCACTTTATGTGACTTAGAACTCTTGTTAGTTTTTGTGGGCTCTAAACCACATTCCTAAAAGGTTTCTTACAAAAATCTAGAGAAAAAAATATCTTACTACATTTGCTATTGTAATATCTGAATATGAATATATATATATTTCTTTCTTTTTTTTTTTTTTAAGACAGAGTCTTACTCTGTTGCCCAGGCTAGAGTGCTGTGGCGTCAGCCTAGCTCACAGCAACCTCAAACTCCTGAGCTCAAGTAATCCTTTTGCTTCAGCCTCCCGAGTAGCTGGGACTACAAGCATGCGCCACCATGCCCAGCTAAGTTTTTCTATATATTTTTAATTGCCCAATTAATTTCTTTTTCTATTCTTAGTAGAGACTGGGTCTCGCTCTTGCTCAGGCTGGTTTTGAACTGCTGACCTTGAGCGATCCACCTACCTCGGCCTCCCAGAGTGCTAAGATTATAGGCGTGAGCCACCGTGCCTGGCCACATCTGAGTATTTTATTGGTATTAAACAAATACCTGAAAAACGATTAACTGCCACTCCTCCCCCTGGACCTAATGGTCAAATATTTTACCAAAAGACTGACCCATTTAGTGAATAAAAAATATTTATATACTGTAGCTTATAATAGGCTTAAGTAATATTGGAATTTAAGGAGAAAGGAAGGAGTGATAGGAGTTAAAAAGGTAAATAGCTCACATTATCCAAAGAAATAAAACAGGCAATTTAATAACAGCATTAAAAGATAGTTTTGTTAATTAATAAAACAATGAACTCTCATGGGCAGCCTGGAAATAACTGAAGTTTGGATGAACTCCACAATTACTTTGCTGAGTAATTATATCGACAAAGCAGAAGAGCCCCAATTTAAATCTTTGTTTGTTAACAGGATACATCAGAGCCAGTCATGACATTTATACTTAACATAGGTAGACTCAGTGCAGATGATATATTTCAAATAATACTGATTTTGTGTGTGTGTTGCTGTTTTAACATCTGGGTGCTTACTATGTGCCAATTAATGTTCTAAGCACCTCAGAAGTGGCAACTCATTTGAGCCTTACTACGACCTCATGAGGTAGGTACTATATTTTCCTTATTTTACAAATGAGAAAACTGAGGCACGAAGAGGTTAAACTGCTCATAGTCACACAGCTCCTTGATGGTAGACCCAGAATTCAAACCGAGCAGTCAGACACCAGAGCCTGCCTTCCTAACCACTGGGCTGTTTGGGGCTTCACTGGCATCTATTTATAAATATAACTCAGCACAAGGCCCAATCATAGGCAATTTCACAACATGTTCAAGGCTGACTTTTCCTAGCTTTCTTTGCTGCTGTATAACACACAGATACTATGATAGATTATAATGAGTAGAAAAAAGGGTGAGTTGGTTAGTGGATCACAAACTGAGACTTAGGCTTTCAAGTCATTTTCCTTTCAAATGTGGTTAGTGTTCTTGAAAATATGGAGGAGGCAAAAAGATATCAAGTCTACTCATCCAGGATAGTAATTAAAGATATAAGCAATGAAGAGTCAGCATATCAAAAAATGCAATAGAGCTAACAGTTATATACTGATATTAGCATAAAATTTTACTGGAAAGAAGCTAAGAGTACATTTTTTAAAATCATCAGAATATCTGCTCACCATGAATTTCCATAGTCCCACGCCTACACCTATGGAACCAATTATTACAACACCAGCAACAATTCCTTCAGGGGGAAAAATATAATAACATGATTAATAGAAATATGAACAATTACATATTTCATTACATTAGTATGTCATAGTTTCACATGATATACATATTGGTTCTAAAATTATATAAAAAGTAGGAGACATGAATTGCATTTTGTATATGGCTTCCTTATGTCACAAGTTTGACCATAACACTGCATGTTATTTGTCTAGTTTTCTTTGAAAGAAAAAGAAATGAAGTATTTAAAGGAAAGGGTGGCAATGCTCAAATACAAATTTTTTTGACAGGTTTGAGAGGATTCTAAAGTGTTTTGACGCAACCGTGCTCAATTTTCAATGTTCTGATCATTGATCATTCAAATATGATGATGGAATTATATCATTTTAGAGCAAAAGGTATCATAAAGTTCACTCTCATTTTGTAGATGAATAAACTAAGTCTCAGAAAGACGGAAATTACATATGTGGTGAATGGGAAGGCCACTTACTTAGTTCATAGCACAGATAACAGATATGTAGGCATTTCCTCATCATAGAAAAGATGCCTGTCTTATTATCATCTGAGATTTAGAAGGCAAAATATATTTACTTTGCCTATAGAATATGCTTCTCAGTGTTTAGTCTATTGTATTAAGAGATGAAATTTCATTCATGAAAGCTATATTTACTTTGAAGCTTCAAAACCCTATTTTGAGCCAAACAGCAGCAAATAATTGGTCAAATACATTGGTCAACATCAAATCAGTTTCGCAGTTTACTTTCATGTTATAACAACCCATTTGCTGTCCTCTCTTGCCATCCTCATTCTCCCTTTGCTTCCCAACATCTCCTACCCCCGGAGATGACCCTGCACTCTACCCCTTTGATCTGTACTACAAAGGAAATTATCAGTGACACTTAGAAAAGCAACTGAAGCTAATGTTCCTAACGAGTATATAAACTGTCTAATTTGAGTTGGGCAATCTCTTGGCCTGTCACTAAGATGACAATCTTTCTATGCTTTAAAGTAGCTGGTACTAGAGAAACTAGTCCTCTGCCTCTGTTTACTGCTTACTATCTCAGTGACCTCGGGCAAGTTACTAATCTTATAAAACCCTGTGTTTTTAGCTGAAAGTGGGGTATAAATGCTACATTATGGGATTGTTGTTAGAAGTAAATAAAATAATACATACAAAAATCTCAGTGTTATAGTATTTGCCACAGAACAAACATGAAAATGTTACCCAAATAAAAGAGCATTCTTATTCTTTGGTGTGGCCAGAGGAAATGATAAAATTGTCAGCCATCCACCTTAGGAAAATAATAGTGACTACATGTCATAACTCCTTTCAGCTAATATTTATTCAACTTTTACCACTGTGCTAGGAGTTTTCATATTCACTATCACATTAAGCTTCAAAAACTTTAACTAGGAATCTCAATGTCCATCTCATAAATGAGAATAATGGGACTCAGAGATTAATTAGTTGGCTTGAATAATTACTAAATAAAAAAAAAAAAGAAAAAAACAGAATTCAAACGGAAGTCTAACTGGTTTAACTCCAAAGGACAAACTCTGTCTTCTACATGGTACCGTCTCAAAAGCAACAGAAGCAATAGCAAAAAAACACCATAAAGCCCATATTCTCAGTGGGTGTGATAAGTGAAGGTGAAAAAACATTTCACTTTGTAGAATATATAAAGTACAGATATATATGTGGTACATAAACAAATTACAGTATATGTGTGGTGGGGGAGGATTAAGAAAAATATCTAAAAGGGTCCTAGGTGAAGAAAGGACAAGAATGAAAAAGAAATTGAGTAACACTGACACAGAGCCAGTAGCTTTAAATAGTTTTAAAATTCACAGCACACGGCTCAGTGATACAGTACTTGTCGGAGTAAAGGTCGGTTCGGCACAGCACTGGCCATGCCAAAAATACTGACACAGGCAGTGGCCTAGAGACTGCATGACGCTGTTACTCCAGAGAGGGAGCTTACACTGCGTCCCACAAGCCCCAAGAAGCCCTAAGCATTATAGCACAGTGCCTTTTGGAAAGCCCAGCCCCTGCCAGACTGTGTCCTGTCCTGGGGCTGCTACTACCAGCCTGAAGCAGAAGCCATTGGCAGCAACCCCTAATGCCCCAGCAGAGGGACAGGTGGGCATTTTCATATACCCAAGGACAAATCCTACTGCCCACGGCCACAACTGGCTGCTGTGGCACCAAGGCATGAGCACACCAAATGCCCTCCTGTAGCTATTCCTACTGAAACCAACCCTGCCCTCCCCTGTAGCAGGACTGCAGCATAGTGACTGCTGTCCTCACTTGAGTATTCTGCTGGTGGCCTGGGGACCATCCTGGTCCTTCCTACCACAGCCACTGCTTCCATGCACCACCCAGCCTAGGGCCAGCCTAGCCCTATCCCCCTTGCACCCGAGCATACTGTCCAGGGGCTTAGGGATCACCCAGCCCAGTCTACGACTACTGGCACCTAGGTTTGGCCAACTAAATCCACCACTATCATCACAGCTGGCACCCATCCATATGTAATACCTTTGTACTTAGGGACAGGCCTGCTCAGCCCATCACAGCCAATGTGGAACATATGAGTCCTAGAGTCCTAGGTTGTCCCACCTCTGCTACTGCCATTGCCCATGCCATGCCTGCTGCCCAGTGGCCTAAAAAGCTGCCCAACCCAACCACTGCTGCCATTACTGGTACCCAAGCAAGCCACTTGGAGGCACAAGAATAGGCCTGCCAACACCAGTCCCAGCATGCACTGCCCTGGGATGCAACAACAGGCACACTCAGCTCACTGCTGCCACCACTGAGGCTTGAAGACTGGCCCACCTGGCATCACAGATTCCAGCAAAACTTCACCACAGACTCCACTAACAACCGCACCATAAGCCACCAAGAAAATCACAGACACCACTGACACTATTTACAGCCAAAGATCATACAGAGAATATGCTACTGCATGAGCCCAGAATCAAAGCCAAAATGCCATATCCAACCAACACCATACATGTATCTTCAGGAAAAAGTCCTCCCTTAAGAAGACAAATGGAAAAGACTGGAATAAGTGACTGTTACACCAACTGTGCCGATAACAACTTAAGGACATAGGAAACAGAAAAGCAAGGAAATGACACACCAAGGGAACATAAAAATTCTCCAGTGATCCCTATCAAAACAAAATTTAAAAATTCCTGGAAAAAGAATCCCAAATATTGATATTAAATAAGCTCAGTGGGATACAACACAATACTGAAAAATACAAGGAAATCAGAAGAACAATTAAGGGTATGAATGATGAATTTACTAAAGACATCATCAAAAAACAATCACTCAATCAGAAATTCTGGAGCTAAAGAATTCATTGAATGAAATACGAAATATATTCAAAAACTTCGGCAATAGATTAGATGAAGCAAAAGAAATACTTTTAGAACTTGAAGATGGGTTTTTGAAATAACCCAGTAAAATAAGAATAAAGAGAAAAGAATAAAAAAGAATGAGCAAAACCTAAGTGACATATGGAACACCAAAAAGCAACCAAATATATAAATTTTCAGAGTCCCAGAAGGTAAAGAGGAAATGAAAGGGTTAGAAAACCTATTTAACAAAATAATATATAAAAATTTCCCAAGTCTAGTAAAAGACTTAGAAATCCAGATATAGGAGGTTGCATATCCCAAATAGATACAATTTACAAAAGTCTTCTCCATGGTACATGAGTCAAAATGTCAAAAGTCAAAGACAGAGAATTCTACAAACGGCAAGATAAAAGCATCTAGTCATTTTGAAGGAACCCCCATAACAAACAGTGAATTCTCACCAGAAACTTTACAGGCCAGGAGAGAATGGGATGATACATTCAAAGTGCTGAAAGAAAGACACTGCCATTCAAGGATACTATACTCAGTAAAGTTATTCTTCACAAATATAGGAGAAATAAAGTCTTTGCCAGACAAGCAAAAGCTGAGTGAACTCATCACCATTACCCCAGGCCTACAAGAAATGCTTAAGGAAGTCCTACATCTGGAAAAAAAAAGAAAGATGCCTACAATCATGAAAACATGGAAGTATTAAAACCACTGGTAGAGCAAACAAAGAAACAAGGAAAAGACTCAAATGTTACAATAACAGAAAACAACCAAAACAGAAGTATAAACAATGAAAGAAAGAAACAAAACAACCAGAAATCAATTACTAAAATGACAGGAATAAGCCTTCACATATCAATAATATAAACAGATTAAACTTGAATATAAACAGATTAAACTTTCCACTTAAAAGAAATAGACTGGCTGAATGGATAAAAGAACAAAACAACCCAACTATATGCTGCCCGCAAGAAACTCTACATAGGACATATATTGATTGAAAGTTAAGAGATGGAAAACATTATTCAAGCAAACAGAAACCAAAAGACAGTAGGAATAGCTATCTTTATATCAGATATAATAGACTTTAAGTCAAAAACAGCAAAAAGCAACAAACAATGTTATTATATAATGATAAAGGGATCAATTCAGCAAGAGGATGTAACAATTCCAAACATAAATGTACCTAATACCAGAGAACCCAAATATATAAAGCAAATATTATCAAATCTAATGAAAGAGATAAACTCTAATACAATAACAGTTGGAGACCTCAACACCACACTGTCAGCACTAGGCAGATCATTTACACAGAAAATTAACAAAGAAACATTGGATTTAAACTGAACATTAAACCAAATAGGCCCCACAGACATTTACAGAACATTCCAGCTAACAGTTACAGAATACACATTCTTCTTATCACCACATGGAACATTCTTCAGGACAAAATGTATGTTTATTCTTCAGGATAAAAACATATGTTATCCTTAACACAAATCTTAACAAATGTTTAAAAACTGAAATCATGTCAAATATCTTCTTAGACCATAATGGAATAAAGCTAGAAGTCAATAAAAAGAGGAACTTTGGAAACTGCACAAATACATGGAAATTAAATAATATACTCCTGAATGACTGTTAGGTCAAGGAAGAAATCAAGGAGAAAATGAATAAATTTCTTAAAACAAATGAAAATGAAAACACAATATATCAAAATGTAAAGAATGCAGCAAAAGCAGTTCTAAGAGGAAAACTTCCAGCAATAAATTCCTGAAAGAAAAAAGGAGAAAAACTCAAAAGACATATTCTAACAATGCACCTCAAGGAACTAGAAAAGAAGGAATAAACCAACCTAAAATTAAGGAAAAAAATAATAAAGATCAGAGCAGAATTAAATAAAATGGAGAGAAAAAAAAAAGAAGCAAGAAAAAAAATGTTGGTTTTATTAAAATATAAACAAAATCAATAAACTACTTGCTAGACAAACCAAGAAAAAAGTAAAAGCTCAAATAAAATCAGAAATAAAAAAGACATTACAACTGATACAATAGAATACAAAAGATCATCAGAGATTATTATGAATAGTTTTATACTTAGAACCTGGAAAACCTAGAGGAAATGGATAAATTCCTGTATGCACAGAATCTCCAAAGACTGAAATCAGAAGAAACAGAAAACCTAATCATTTATGCATAATGATATTGAATCAGCAATAAAAAGTCCCCCAATAAAGACCAGATTAGATGGCTTTACTGCTGAATTCGACTAAACTTTCAAAAATAATTCACACCAGTTTTAAATATTTAAGAGAAGGGAATTCTCCCAAGCTCATTCTATGAGGCCAGCATTACTGGAAATGGTATGATGTGTGATATAGTCTTCACAATAACCCAGTGGGAGCTGGAAGAAGTGGGCATCCATTGAGTTGACAATTGTTGAATTAGGGTGAGTACACAGGGATTCACTGTACTGTTTTTCTTACCTGTATGATGTTTAAAGTTTTCCATAATAGTAAGTTTAAAAATAAATAAATAAATGGCAGGGCAAATTAAGAAAAAGAAGATAATATTCTCTTCCAGAAATACAGATTGTTCATTCCACAATGATAACAGTCACTGCCTGAGAGCCAAACTTACCAGCTGTAAATGTGGAAGAATCTACAGAAAAAGAAGGGGAGAAGAAAAACAATTACAAAAATAAAAATTTTGAAAAGTCATTGATTTGCTTAGCAATTTAAATAACATCAATAAGCTACACTTGAAATCTCCAAAGCAATTCAAATTTCCATAAATCAAAGAATTGTAAATAAATTTATGAAAATAACTACACATTACCTTAAATAAAAAACAGCAGTGTCTCTATCTGTTCAACAGAATCAACACTATAAACATAAATTATGATAAAGAGTTTCTTAATGCCAAAACAAAACACCATCTAAATTTGGTTGTATCACTTGAGGGCAAGAAAGAAGTTTGAGAAGCTTGAATAGTAAATAACTGCTGATTCAATCCTACTACCAAGAAACTATAAGAAACTCAAGTCCCTTTCAGTAGACTCTTTCAAAACTCAAAATTATCATATCACGTTATTATTTATATCTTTCAATGATTATGGATGAGGCACGATAAAATAAACTTTACTTTGAAATAAGTACATTCATAATAAATAATCTGCTCTCAGGTGAGGGAAAAAATTTACTCACAGTACTATTTAGAACAAGCAATATTACACAGCAGAAAAAGCACAGGATGTAGAGTCAACCAAAACATCTTTAATCACTTCAGTACGGCGCTCACCGGTTGAGAAACCTTGCCCACAGCCGGCACTCATAGTCCGCACAATAGTCTGTGCTGTGCATTGACAAGAATCCACTTTGCTTTTGTGTGATGAGGAAAGCTTCAAAGCACTGAAAGCTTGTTTTACTTTACAGGCAGCTTTACTTGTAATGTAAACCAGAATAGGTAACATATACACATATGTTTTCATTACGTTATTTTTAAATGTTCACAATTTTGTTTTGATAAACGAAAAATTAGAAAAGTCTTATTACAGCTGCCGGCTAAAGTCGACTCTCGGCTGTGCGCATTCATCTGTGGCTACTGACTATAGTCAATGCTCGTACTGAAGTGGTTAAACTTCCCCATTACCTATGCACTAGATGTGAGCTGTGTAAGTTACTCTCTGAGCCTCTAATTCTGCATCTACAAAATGAAACTAAATATACTGATTTTGTAGGGACTAGTGTCAACAAATAGATGGTACAGGGTATATGACACTATAGTACATAGCCAATAAGTGGTAACTACTATGATCTTTCAATAAGTGCTAAATATGCTTGATTATATTGAGTCCTGAGAGAATCAATTAATTTTACATAGGAGGAAAATGTCATATGCTTATTATAGTTATTATATATTTGTATTATTTTATTATATAATTATATTTATTATATTTTTATCATACAAATTGACTCATTAGCTTTAAATTTGTTAAATTACCTTGTACTTTTTACAAAAAGAAATATTTCAACACTTCAACAAATTTATATAAAGGGAAATTTATTTTTCTTTGCCTTCCCTTATTAAAATTTGGGTATATATAATCTGAAAATTTTAGAGCCAAAGATGTCATAAAATTTTAAGAAGTCAAAAACTCCATATAAAGGTTAAAATGAGTGAACTCAATCTAAATGAATCAATATGAACCAGAAAGCCAATGTTGAGTGCTAAAACTTAGATAATGAAGCATATGACATACTGTTTATGTAAATCACAAAACAATATTATGAACTACTTATGGATACATACATGCAGTATAAGCATGAAAACAGATAAGAGAGCTCACCAGCCTCAGGGCAGTAATTGTCTTAATGGTAAAAAGTTGGGGGTAGGGAAATGTACAAGGGAACTTTAACAACATCTATAATGTTTGAATTCTTAAAAATATGTGATAGCAAAATAGGCTTCAAGATAAAACTTATACGAAATCCTTAAAATATATGGTTCTAAAGTATAAAAATATAGTTAAAAACCTATTATTTGACACCTCTGCAAAGTGCCCCAAAGCAGGAATGGCAGTTCCCCTTTTAAAGAGGGGAACTAAATGGGGTGGACAGGCAGGGTTCAGAGATGCACACATGCAGGGAAGGGCCCTCCCTAAGCCACATGGTGTGGGTAGCAGAGAGCCCCAGTCTCTAGCTTGCAAAGTCAGAGGATGGAGCTCAGGCCTGACAGAGGATCTGGAGAATAAGGGGGCAAATCTGAGGGGTGGTTTTGTCATATTTCTTGACGTCTGTGGGACTTAACACAAACAGTTGCTTTAGAAAAGTTACTGAACTACACACTTATTTGTTATGCAGTTTTCCACTTGTGTGTTGACTTCAATTTAAAAGTTAAACCAATTTTTTAAAAATTATGTCCTGGCTCAGTCTTGTTGATTATTTTCTAAGAAAGATAAAATAACAAATAGTCTCCATTAAAGCAAGAATGTCTCTAAAAATGGCTATATATTAGGCAAGTTGTCAGGCAAGAAGTCCTACTGGTGGCCTGAAGCAGCATCGATTACTAAGACAGGTCTCTTTCATTCTTTCGGCAGGTATTCTGAAGCCTAAAGCATATTTTACTTTCACAAAATTGTCATCTGCAGAGCCCTGTAATAACATAAACTATGTGAAAGAATTGCTGTACTTTCAATTACTTAGAAGACACTGTTGAGATGCTTTACCGAATTAGCAGCTTCAGGGAATCTGCAGACATCCCTTAATGCTTTGAGGGATGGGTCTCTGTCAAGGAACCAGACCCAGGACTCAGCCTCAAGGATGGTACATACTTGGATCTTCAAAGAGGTCTTGACAAATTCAATGACTCCCTACACTAGCATGGAAAACAATATTTTTATCACCCTTAATTTAACATTGTTTTTCAATAGGGCCACAATATTTTTCTATATTATTGTAACTATTTTCTTTTTAAGGATTTTCCCTAGCACAATCTAAGTCTGCCTCTATAGAAAGTCAAAAGCATTAGTATCAAAAACCCTGGCTACCAGAAATAGAGACTATTTAATTTTACAAACTTGGTTAAATTCATATTTCCACCAGACCAAATGAGATCCATACTCAAGAAACCTGAACACCGTCAACTGACCTGAAGGGATCTGTCCTCCTTTAGATATACTTGTTGCAGGAGAAAACATGGTTGTCCTGGGAAGAAGTTCACCCTGGGTTGCTGTAATATGAACAGAACTGGATCTTTGTATAATCTGGAGGCCCTTAGTCACTGGGACATGTACAGTAGAGGACTCCTGTGCTGCTGGAAGACTCTGTGCAAGTGAACCCTTTGCTGTGGTGGATCTCTGGGCTGTTGGTGTGGCCAGTGTAGCAGAAGCATTAGCTGTGATTGGATTCTGAGCTGCTGCTAGAGCCTTTGTAGATAGGGTATTTGATGTGAGAGATGTCTGGGCTGTTGCTGGGGTGTTTGTGGCTGAATTATTTGCTGTGGTGGGTTTCTGAGTAGTTTGTGAGGCTCCTGTAGCTGGAACATGTACTGTGGAGGGTTTCTGAGGAGTTGGTGAGGCTCCTCTAGCTGGAACATGTACTGTGGAGGGTTTCTGAGGAGTTGGTGAGACTCCTGTAGCTGGAACATGTACCGTGGAGGGTTTCTGAGGAGTTGGTGAGACTCCTGTAGCTGGAACATGTACCATGGAGGGTTTCTGAGGAGTTGGAGAGGCTCCTGTAGCTGGAACATGTACCGTGGAGAGTTTCTGAGGAGTTGGTGAGGCTCCTCTAGCTGGAACATGTACTATGGTGGGTTTCTGAGGAGTTGGTGAAGCTCCTGTAGCTGGAACATGTACTGTGGAGGGTTTCTGAGGAGTTGGTGAGGCTCCTGTAGCTGGAACATTTACTGTGGAGGGTTTCTGAGGAGTTGGTGAAGCTCCTGGAGCTGGAACATTTACTGTGGAGGGTTTCTGAGGAGTTGGTGAGGCTCCTGTAGCTGGAACATGTACTATGGTGGGTTTTTGAGGAGTTGGTGAAACTCCTGTAGCTGGAACATTTACTGTGGAGGGTTTCTGAGGAGTTGGTGAGACTCCTGTAGCTGGAACATGTACTGTGGAGGGTTTCTGAGGAGTTGGTGAAACTCCTCTAGCTGGAACATTTACTGTGGAGGGTTTCTGAGGAGTTGGTGAGACTCCTGTAGCTGGAACATATACTGTGGAGGGTTTCTGAGGAGTTGGTAAAACTCCTCTAGCTGGAACATTTACTGTGGAGGGTTTCTGAGGAGTTGGTGAGGCTCTTGTAGCTGGAACATGTACTGTGGAGGGTTTCTGAGGAGATGGTGTAACTCCTGGAGCTGGGACATTTACTCTGGTTAGTTTCTGAGGAGTTGGTGAGACTCCTGTAGCTGGAACATGTACCGTGGAGGGTTTCTGAGGAGTTGGTGAGACTCCTGTAGCTGGAACATGTACTGTGGAGGGTTTCTGAGGAGTTGGAGAGACTCTTCTAGCTGGGACATTTAGTTTCTGAGGAGTTGGTGAGACTCCTGTAGCTGGAACATGTACCGTGGAGGGTTTCTGAGGAGTTGGTGAGACTCCTGTAGCTGGAACATGTACTGTAGAGGGTTTCTGAGGAGTTGGTGAGGCTCCTGTAGCTGGAACATGTACTGTAGAGGGTTTCTGAGGAGTTGGTGAGGCTCCTGGAGCTGGAACATGTACTGTAGAGGGTTTCTGAGGAGTTGGTGAGGCTCCTGGAGCTGGAACATGTACTGTGGTGGGTTTCTGAATAGTCAGTGAGACTCCTGTAGCTGGAATGTTTACTGTGGTGCGATTTTGAATAATTAATGGGGCTTCTGTACCTGGAGCTTTTGAGTGGTTCCGAGAAGTTGGTGTGATTTTTGTACCTGGAACTGTGGTGGGTTTGTGAGAAGTTGGTGTACCTGGAAGATTTGTAGTGGTAGGTTTAGGAACTGATGGCCGGAACGTGGCAGGTGGAGACTTTCCTGTGGAGAAAAAATGTTGAGAGAAAATCAGCTAAATATTGCTGTGCAACTTAAGATTTTTTAGCCATTGCTTGTTCTATGGCTATTGTCTTTCCCTCTCCATTAACACCTACATATGACTTTTAAGAAGTCAAGTCTTACAACATATTTCCCAAAGAGCTAAAAGGCTGCATTTCTTTTCATTTGATATAAGTTACACCTATTGGTGACTAAAGCAGAGTTATGTCAAAGTAGTATTGAGGCCCTTAAGCTGTTTTCTTGAGAACAAAGGAAACCAACGTTAAAGTCAGAGTGATCTTATTCTGTAACATATCTCTCTGTATTTTCTCTCCCAAATTGCCTGCGTTTGCTCATGCCAAGACCACAGAAAAACAGAATGCAATCATTGGACCAACAGAGAGAATCACAGCATAGTTACTTTTCCCACTGCTTTCAGGATATGTTTGTGAGGTTGAGAACTTACTGTGTTGTACTCCTTCTTAAAGTAACATATCAGTCTGAATAGAAATCACCCCATTTCTCCTGCGCTAGTTACCAACTTTACATATATTAGTGTAGGTCCTCTTTATATTTCAGGTTAGATAACTATTAATGTCAAACTTCCATTAAGAACGTATTCTTAGAATAACAAATCTAACGTCAGCATTGATCTAGTCTTCAGAGCCAGTGTGTCTTTGGGTCACTTACACAAAGTCTGTTATGGCAGCTATTAAGTAGAGCTGAACCCTAGTTTCACCATATCCTAGAGACCTTGAGCAAGTTTTGTAATCCCTCTAAACTTTAGTTTTCTCATCTGTAAAATGAGGATAAAAACAGAGCAGATTGCACAGCATTACTGTAAAGTTTAAGGAAATAATTTAGTAAGTTTTTCACACAGTGTCTGTCCCTGAAGCCACAGGTTGTACCATCCAGTACTCCTGCTGTGAGTCCCATCACACACATCATGCCCTCATTTATATACACACACCGATGGTGCATGTTGTTTTCTGCTTCCTTACCTGTCTCACAGGATGCTATAAAGAATAACTCCAGTAAAGTACCTACCAGGTAACACAGCACTTAGCGGGCACTCAAAATGTGATAAGATATTATTAGAGTAAGTAAAGTTTTTAAATGGACTTTTCATTCTAAGGCCCTCATATATTCTTTGTTCTACTAAGGTAGTTCTCATTTTGATCCAGAGAATTTTATACTACCATAGAGTATAAATTCCCCAGAAATTAATTTTTATTTATATTTTTCTTATTGTTGTCTAGTTTAATCCCACTGCAGTTAGAAGGCATGCTTTAAATAACTTCAACTTCCTGCAATGCACTGCAATTTAGACCTCAATAGTCAAATTTGGTAAATGTCTCATGTGTACTTGAAACCCGCCATCTGTCATTATGAGGTTCAATGCTCTTATATGTCATTCATTTGACTGTTGCACAAACCTTCTATATTCTTAGTAAAGTTAGTTGCTTGTTCTATTAGCTATTGAGAAACCTATGAATTCTTCAACTATGAATGTGGATTTGTCCATTTTTCTTTCTGTTCATTTTTGCTACATATAGATTGAAACTATTTTATCAAGTGTATACAGATTTTAGCTTGTGTTATCTTCCTGTTTGGGTGGCCTCATTATCATTATAAACTGTTTCAGGTCAAAATATACACTTAGATTAAGACAACTGCACACGTTTATTTTGGGGGGTAATGTATGCATAAAGTACTTCTCCATTCTTTACTTCCAACCATTCTGTATTCTTATAATCAAACTGTGTGTCTTGTAAATAGTAAATATGCTTTCTTTTTAAATCTAGTGTGACAGTCTTAATCAAATTACACTTCATACAATTACTGATACAGTGTGGTTTTATAGCAAACACATAATTAGTTTTCTACCCCACCCATGTATTTTATGTTCCTTTCTGTTTCTCATCCTCTCTTGTTCTTTTTTAGATTAAACATTCATTGTGATTTCTTTATTAGCTTGTGATTTATGTATTCTTTTATCATTCTTTGTGGCAACCCTAGAGATTACAATATGTACCAGGCTATAAGTCAGTTATGAAAATTTTCACTTTTACTGCTTTTTTAATACTGCTAAAATCTTATAACTTCTACACTGAGTTTACCTCTTTCTGCCTTTTGTTTTATTACTATGGTGCATTTGTATTCTAAATACAATTCAAACCCAAAAGACATCATATTCATTGTTCTGTAAACTCAGTGTTCACATACCCTTGCCACTGTTCTTCATTTTCTCTTGCATTTTTGTTCTACCTGGCACTATTTATACTGTACTTGAAGAATTTCCTTTAGTTTTTTGCTCTGTACAGGTCTGGGCTGCTGGTGCTGAGTTCCCTCAGTTTTTGTCTGAATATATCTTTATTTTGCATTCAGTTTAGAAGAATATATACATTGGGCATAGAATTCTGGATAAGCAGTTATTATCTTACAGTATTTTAAAGATTTCTTCTTGTCTTTCGGCTTGCACCATATTTTGTAGATAAAGTGATCACTTTTACTGTTGCTCCTATGATGGCTTTTTTTGTTTTTTATTTTTAGTCTCTGAGTAGTCTTATCATTGTTTGAGTTACCAAAGGTTTCCTATGGGGCACATTGAAGTGGTTTGTTTCTATTCTGCTTAGAGTCACAGAGCTTCTTGAATTTGTTGGCTGATATATTTCACCAAGTTGGGAAAACTGTCACTTGTTATCTTTTTGAATATTTCTTCTGTTTCTATTTCTTTTCTCTTCCTTGTCCTCCCCCTCTTTCTTGTCATCTCTCAATTTCTTTCTCCTCTCTTTCTGACATGTTATAGCAGCTTAACATGTCTTTAATGTCCCACACTCTTTTCTATATTTTACATCTTTTTATCTATTGCTGTTTCAGTTTGGACATTTTTAATTAACCCGTCTACCAGTTCATATACTGCTTCCACTGTGTCCAAGTCACTGTGAAAAGCTACCTATTATGTTCTTAATTTCAGATATTTTCCAATGATACATTGGTCATTTTACTCTATTTCTATAGATTCCTGTTCTCCGCTGAAGTTCCCTAAATTTTCTTTTATTCTCTTAAACATTTTAATTACTTATTTTAAAATTCTTTTTTGCTGACTCAATTATATGGATCATCTTTATTAGATTTGGTTTTCTCTTGATTTGGTGATATTTTCTTGCTTCTTTCCATATCTAATAGTTTTTTATTATATGCCAGACATTGTATACAAATATCCAGATGGTACCATAAGATATGCTTTCCTGATAGGCAGACTGTAGTGAGATGATCATCTCTTCAACCTGTCAGGGATTGAGCTAGGTTGCAATTTTAGTAAGATTAGTAAGATTTAGTAAGATTCAGGCTTCCTCTGCTCTTGTCTCTGTTCCCTGGGAGTGGCCCTTCTGGGCTTTGGCTGGAAAGTCTAATGGATCTTTGTTGCCTCAGCCCTGAAAGACTGCAGGAGATCCAGGTCTGTGCTTCAGAGTTCCCCCAGCCCAGCCATCTAGCCTCCTTCCCCACACAGCTTCATAATGAGCACAGGTGTCCTACGGAGGAGTGTGGACGTGTGCTTGCTAAAGGCCTGTTCCTCTCATGGGCACTTGTCCAAATACTACCAGGTTCTGAGATCTTACTGGGCATGGTAGAATCACTGGAGCCAGCTTCCCAGGCTCAAATGCAGCCCTAGAAATCAGCTAATGGCCAGTGGAAAAAATTGGCTTTGCATGTGAGGACCTCAATTCCAGTGTATTAATCTAGCCTTTCGAAACCATTAAAAACTTTGCTGGTTTCTGTCTTTCCTGGAAATGGTCTTTTGTCTGGGTCAAGATGGATCCTCAGCCCAGGTTCAGAATCAGCGTATGTCCCCAGGGAAAAATACAACTGACTCAGCTCAGATTGCTTTGCCTTCATTTCCTACTGCCAGGAATTTTACTTCATTCAGACCTCATTGTTTCCACAGCTGTATCTTATGGCTTTAACAGTACGATTTTTTAAAAGTATATTCAGATTTTGTAGCTGTTTTAATAGAAGTATTACCTGCTGTGACCTACTTGGGCACTACTGTATAGTTTTAAGATCTAAATAACTGTCAATTTAATGACTACGGAAAATAAATAGAAAGTGGATCAAATAAATTGCCTAATTAAAAATACATACAACACAAAACTTTATCATAATGAAATGAGTGCAAACAATAAAATGTTCACCACTTACATTGTCAAATCTCCATACCATAATAATCATTATCATCAAAGGTACATACAAATAGCACAATGATGTAATATTAGTGAGAGTAAACTGGTAAAGTCTATTTGAAAACAATGTTGCTAGTAACTATGAGCCCAGGTGGTTGTTCACATTTATAATTCTAACACTTTCGGAGGCCAAGGCGAGACGATCGCTTGAGGCCGGAAATTACAGACCATGCTGAGCAACACAGCAAGACCCTGTTTCTACAAAAAATATAAAGATTAGCTGGGCGTGGTAGCGCATGCCTGAAGTCCCAGCTGCTCAGGAGGCTGAGGCAGGAGAATCGCTTGAGCCCAGGAGTTTTAGGTGGCAGTGAGCTATGATGACGCCACTCCACTCTCGGCCGGGAAACAGAGTGAGACCCTGTTTCAAAAAAAAAAAAAGAAAAAAGAAAAAAGAAAAAAGAAAATGCATTTACCTTTGCTACAGTAATTACACTACAAGGAATTAATTGTATAAGAGTACTTTGACACTTGTGCAAAAACAGATGTACAATATTTATTGTAACATCATTTGTAATAATTTATAAAAATCAAACTAGAACAAAACACCTAAATTCCAAAAGGAGGCCATTTAAATAAATATTACATCCATACAATTGATATTATAAAAGAATTAAATGTATGTTTATTTATAATCTAGAATAAAATACAAGTATTTGTAAAAAATGGTCATTTTTCAGAGTAGGACTGGGGATAGAGAAGAGATTTTCTCTTCCCATTTTATATTCACTTACATGGTTTTAATATATCACCATGTGTATGAACATTTATAGTAAGCTATTTTTAATAAGCAATAATTTTTAAAAATTCATGCTAATAGAATTTCATTTATAATTATAAAAGTAGTATCCTACTTTTGAGACATGTTGGCATTCATCACTACTTAAACACATGCCACCTAGTGGTACTAGGCAATGTTTAATCCAGCTTCACTGATCTTTTAAATATCTCCTGAAATATATTTAAAAAGCAGGTCTAAGGACCCGAGAGTACAAACTGGGTATAAAGAGATGCTGAGGAAAAAGGTATAGAAGGATAAAGAGAGAATGGTCAATAACACACAGAAATTCTGGAGGCAGAAAATAATTGAATGTAATGCAATGACATCAACAGCTAGGCAAGAGTTTCTCAGTTGTCACAACATGTACATCACTACCCTAGAGCCCTGAGTTCAACCTAAGATTGTTCCTCCAATTTAATAAATCATTTCATACACTCTTTTTATAAACAAAGAGCTATCTATATTGACTTACTGAAAGTAAAATGGTATGAAACAAATTTAAGCTAATTTGATAAAAATGACATATTTTGTATATATACATCACATACATTTGTGTGTATATATGCCATAGACCCCTCTGAGAATATGATGAAAAACTTACCCCACAGAAAAATGCAAATATGCACATGTCAAATATTTTTACATTCATTTCTCAGGGAGTTCACAGAATCTCTGCAGCCCCTATAAGAGTAAGAATAAAACAAAAATATGACTACACAAAACATGATTACCTCGGCACTGAGGTGGTGGGCCACTCCACTCTCCTTCATCGCCTTTTGCAGTACAATGAATAGTGTCCTCTCCAATCAGGGTAAAGCCTCTATTACATTCGTACATTACAGCCTGATTATATACATAGTAGTCGCCGTCTCCTCGAACTATTCTTCCATTCTCAATTTTTGGTGGTTCTTGACAATGAATTACTTTAAAAAAAAAATTCCAACATCTTTTAAATAAATAAAATTGATAAGGCATGTTTTACAAACAAGACTAAAACATGTTAATGATTTCATTTAAAAAGCAAAATCTACCATTTTTCTAAATTCAGCATTTATCACCAACAGATGTTTATAAATGCTTTTATGAAGAAACTCATAGTATATTTGAAGCTGTGAATGCAAATGTTGTAAAATATGAATGCTAAACCTGAGACCAATTCTTAGAAAGATTTAGAACATATATGGAAAACAAAAATTACAACATGTTACATATCAAAATGGTGCTAGAAAAAGAAAATACTGCAGGAGTTTAGAGACAAAAGTAGACCCCTCAGAGACTTTAGGGAGGAAATGGTTTTAAAATTGAGTATAAATCTAATATATACCATTCCTTTAAGGGAGAACAGAGAAGAGAGTATTGCTCTTCATTCCCCAGGGGAAATGATGCACATGAAAGGAGTGGGAATTGAAGTGGCATGCTTGAGAAACCCATACAGAACATTTTGGACAGAGCGAAGATATTAAATGTAAAAATTACATTTTGACTTCTAGAGTAACATTTTTAAGGACATACTGACTCAAAGAGATTTTTATTCAAAATAAATCTTCCTGGCCAGGCGCGGTGGCTCACGCCTATAATCCTAGCACTCTGGGAGGCCGAGGCGGGTGGATTGCTCAAGCTCAGGAGTTCAAAAGCACCCTGAGCAAGAGTGAGACCCTGTCTCTACTATAAATAGAAAGAAATTAATTGGCTAAGTAATATATATATAGAAAAAATTAGCCGGGCATGGTGGCGCATGCCTGTAGTCCCAGCTACTCGGGAGGCTGAGGCAGGATTGCTTGAGCCCAGGAGTTTGAGGTTGCTGTGAGCGAGGCTGATGCCACGGCACTCACTCTAGCCTGGGCAATCAAGCGAGACTCTGTCTCAAAAAAATAAAATAAAATAAAATAAAATAAAATAAAATAAAATAAAATAAAATAAAATAAATTAAAAAACAAAATAAATCTTCCTGAGTAGCTGAGCTGAATTTATAAAATAAACACAAAGAAATTATGCTCCAGTTATGCAAAAATTATGCAAAAATAGGCCTCTCCCTGGTAGTTGCCCTGAGAGAAAATCCAACAGGTCTAAATTCTCTAGAGTTATGAAGTTGTTTTATTCTTAAGAAAGAAAGCAATGTAATCACATGCGTATACCAAATTATATTACACCAAACGTACCTAAGTACCAAGAGAATACTAGCAAATTTATAAATTACTCTTAGGCCTTTGACCAAAATAAGGAGCTATTCTGATTTACACCATTTAAAGTCTGCAGGGACTGTACATATACCATCAGTTCAGTGCAAACACTCTCTGAGAACCTAATTCACACCAGGCATTGTTTTATAAATGTTAAGTATAAAATTCAACAAGATACAGTTCCTATCTTAAAATCCAGTAGGAAAGAGATTCAAAGAGACAAATGCAATACAAAATGTGAGGGTTATCATAGAGATAACCAGCCTGGAAATCTTCCTAAAGGACTAGAACTGACTGTTAATGAGCAAAATATAACCAAGTAAAAAAGGGACTGAAAAACGTTCAAGGCACACGCAGTAACGTTCACAGAATGATGCAGGGGCATGCAGAAACATGAGGTACATGCAAAATAATCACCAGTTTGCACGGATAAAACATAAAACATGAGTGTGGAGAAGTAGGTAGACCATGGCTGCCTTGTAGAATATACTAAAGAGTTTTGACTTAGTAAGTAATGGGAGATACTAATAAGCTCTAAGGAGAAAAGAGAAAAGTCATATCTGTGTTTCGACAGATCACTCTGGGTAAAATATGAATGAAACCTTAACAGAGTGAAAGAATGAGGCCACTGCCTCAGTTTCACCTTTGAACATAGGCAACTAAGATTCCTTCTGCAGGCCCCACACTTGAAAAGGCTGTGCTCTGGCCCTGCCTTGGGTATCTCTCTCCCCAGTAGGTGGATATCTGTAGGGCTGAGAGGACATGGTCAATGACAGCCCATCTTACCACCCCTTCCTCCATTATAGAATATGCTCCAGGAACTAGCACCCAGAATTTCTCGTGCCAATACCCCTTCCATTACCTGAGAGGTCCATTCCCCGGGACCATGTTATTGAGGGTGGTCTACACTGCGTATATACTACCTCTACTGAAAGGAAAATGAAGTTGGATAAGGGTCATGGGGGACGTGGTGGGCATGACTTGGCTATGTAGGCCAAGTTGTCCACTTATGTGTACCAGAGACCCCTCACAGTCAGGGAAGAGGGAGGACTATTTGAGAGAGGGTGGGACATTCATACTCCTGTGTGGGCCCTGAAAATATCAGCAGTGGCCCTGATTGCAACAGTCAAGATGGGGAATGATAAACTGTGTTAGAAGTATACAAATGGAGGATAAAACATAGGTTTGAAAAATATATTGAGGAGGTAAAGCAAAATGAATTAGTGATTACATGGTGGAAGTTGAGATAAAGAGAGTGGTCAGGGATGACGGTCCTTATATACCAGAAAGTGATTCGAGCCTAGCAGGTACCAGTAGTCCACTGAAAGTAATTTCGAGAAAGAAAACACTGGCAGAGAGATAAGAAAATGGGTCCTTCTGATAGTTAGGGCTTCATTCAGAGGTGAACAAGTACCACCTCTGTTTGATGTATAATTAGGGACAATTCTTGAATGTGCTCATGATTCTTTCCTTCTTCACATCCATATTCACAAGGGGACATCAATGCAACTTCAAGTGCTTATAGGCCACGGCTGCATACTTGAGGTAAAGCAGCTATTTAGGAATTTACTTTCCACTCAATCTTTTTGGTATGACCAAAACAAAAAAGTTTGGTGGAAAATCAAACCTAGATCCTAAAAGAAATAGGGCTTTCTAGGGACAGCTGAAAACACTGAGGGTGCTTCAGAAAAGGGGCTCTTTCCTGCAGAATGCAGATGTCAGTGGTTGCTAAGTTGGAGAGATGGATAGAACAGTCTAGGAGGAAAATATGAACATCAGGATATTCACCATAGAGTTCAAGACAGCAAACAGAGTAGAACTGTGGCCTAGATGCAGACTAGCACAAACACACAATGGGTTTGTAGTGCAAAAGCTCTTTTGTGCTAGAATATATGCTGGTGTCCACATTCTGATGAAATTCATGACACCAGTTGCTCATGAAAATACTGGCCTCACATGGGAGAATGCTTGTCTGAATCCTGTGACACTTGCCTGGGTCAAAAAAAAAAAAATATGGTCCAGCTCCTCTTTGCTTTCAATCTTTAATTTATTATCATTTACAGTGTCTTTTACTGGACGGTTGAAGTGGGGATGGCAGTAAAGGGTAGTAATGGTGACAATTTAAAAACAACCATAATGAGAAAAAAGGAGAAGCAGTAGTAGATCTAGAAGGGTGGGGCACATGGTAGCTGTGCCAGCAACAGACTCCTTAATGGCAAGGTTCATTTTATTTGCCTTCATATCAGTTAACCACAAATGATACCTGTTATACAGTGTCAATCAATAAATGCTTGACAAATTACCCTAGCTCTACTCAAGTTTCCTACTCCTAGTAACACAAAAAACTGGAACCTTAGGAATGATTTTGACAATCATTTTTTCAGAAGTCATTTGCAGAAAGGTAAATTGGGTGTAAAGAAAAAAGGATGGAAGAAAGAAACCTACATTTAAGTCTTGCATGTTTTTTCTCCTCTCAATTTTCAGTAGTCATGTGTCTCTAATGGTCATAAATTTGACTGGATATATCCATTTATGATATTATTTCTTTGTCCTATCTTTCTTTGAGAAGTTAAGATTCTCAAGTGCAGAAACCATACTTCTTTATTGTATGACCTTACTTCTCTAATGAAAAAAATATACGTAAAACACTTTAAATAATTACCTCAGTTAATAACTGTAATCCTAAGAAGAGGCATGTAGATAACTCTGGGTCTTAGAAAAATGATGGGTTTCAAGTAAGAATCCTAGCTTACACACGTTCTATTACCATATTGTTTTAGGATGTGGGGTCAAGTGACATTGACTGTCTGAATGATAGCATTTTCTTCTACAAAATTGTGGTGGGAATCCCCTATGTAACTTACTTGACTGTAGAAAGAATGGTTAGATAATCAAGGACCAAGCATAATACAAACCTAACTTTGTTTCAGTTTTCATCCTATAGTTAAGGATATTGGGGCTAAGAAAAGCTTAATGGTTTACCTCCATAGCTAATACCTTAAAGAACATCACTAGAAAAGGTCTTTAAATTAGCAAAGATACTCACACACTCAAAGGTGAGGGTACTACAATTATACACTGTGGATAATTTATTATTTCTCATTGAGCCCCACAACCTGGGTGCTTAGATTTTTAAAAACTCTTACCTCTGCAAGTTGGAAGTGGTTCAGTCCACCCAACATTATCACCTATAATAACACAGATACTATGCTTTGCACCAATTAGTTTGTAGCTGTAGGGACAGAAAAAGAGTGTGTTACATTCACACATTTGACTTTTCTCCAATTCTTCAGAATATTATCTTAAAATATTTACTGAAGCAGTAGATGGATACAAAAGAATAGCTGATACAAGTCCCAACAGCAATTTAAAGGAAAAGAATAAATTAAGTTTAAGAAGGTGACAACCAAAGGGTGAAACGGTAGAACAATATTTTATGTGCATGAGGCATGTGTTAGAAAATATAAAAGGGTTTTAAAACATTATTAAGTAATATAGATGATTGACTATTTTATATTTCTGAGTTTTAAAGGATTAATTCAGGCTTCATAGAATAACAGAATGGACTTATACTTAATGGGTTCAGAGTACTTCCTAGATTGTGTGTGTGTGTGTGTGTGTGTGTGTGTGTGTGTGTGTGGAGATGGTCTTGCTATGTCGCTGAGGCTGGTCTTGAACTTCTGGCCTCCAGCAATCCTCCTAATTTGCCTCCCAGAGTCCTAGGATTATACCATGCCTAGCCCAAGATTTTATGCTAATGACCCAAATGACATCTGTGTTTAGTATAGGAGACAAGTGATACTGATATTTTTATTTTATAAAGAGTAAGGACACACACACAGAGTAAAATAGCATAATTCAATTTGCATATATGAAATGAGAAAATATATGTAACCTTTTTTTTTTTTAAGTTAGACTTTGTGTTTTGAGACAGAGACTCACTCTGTTGCCCGGGCTAGAGTGAGTGCCGTGGCATCAGCCTAGCTCACAACAACCTCATACTCCTGGGCTCAAGCAATCCTTCTGCCTCAGCCTTCCAAGTAGCTGGGACTACAGGCATGCGCCAACATGCCTGGCTAATTTTTTCTGTATATTTTTAGCTGTCCAATTAACATCTTTCTATTTTTAGTAGAGACTGGGTCTCGCTCTTGCTGACTGGTTTTGAACTCCTGCCCTTAAGCGATCCTCCCACCTAGGCCTCTCAGAGTGCTAGGATTACAGGCGTGAGCCATCGCGCCCAGCCCATGTAACTGTTTAAACATTGTCTGAGACACTGATGGTACTCAATGAGTTCCTTTTCCCTGCACAGAGAACTTATAAAAGAACTTAGGCTAGAATGCTTTCCACTAGGAATAAATGTCTTTGGTCTATGATATTTCTTTTTTTTTCTGAGACACAGTCTCACTCTGTTGCCTGGGCTAGAGTGCCATGGCGTCAGCCTAGCTCATAGCAACCTCAAACTCCTGGGCTCAGGCAATCCTCCTGCCTCAGCCTCCCGAGTAGCTGGGACTACAGGCATGCGCCACCATGTCCAGCAAATGGTCTATAATATTTCATCAGTTTGTTTGCATATAAAATCACACAGATGCAAATTCATTATTTAGGCCACTTCAAGATTGGTTTCATTTTAACACTTGAAGGATTATTTTGGCAAGTATCATGAACATCTCAAATTTCTGTCTTTACCTGTAACATTTTATATTGAATCACATATGTACTGAAATCTAACAATTTAGAGAATTTGGTGGCCTCAGAAATCTTCCCTTCTTGCCCCATTTTACTAAATTTAACTGTGATGAGTTCATGACAAACAATCTGTGAGGAGAGGGGTTGATTTTGCTGCTACCCACTTGTGAATACCAGTCATGAAACTAACAATGTCCATCTTAAGTCCTAATTTGTTTTCTCATTTCTTAAATAAAGAATTTTAGTACACTAAAACTTACCCTTTATCACATGAGAAGTTAATGGTTGCACCAAATAAGAAGTCAGTTTTTACATTGATCTGACCATTTGATAATTCTCCAGGATGAGTACATGACTTTTCTAGATAAGAATACAAATATTTTTTTCATTAAATTATTAGACACACAGACAAAAAGGTAACTATGTGAGGCAGTAGATTTGTTAATTAGTTTGATTATGGTAATCATTTCACAACGTAAACATATATCAAAAATCATGTTGTATACCTTAAATAATACAATTTTCCCTTGTCAATTATACCTCAAGAAAGCTGGAAAAAAAGGTATGAAAAAGTTAGCAGGCATATATATGCAAATCCACCATCTGAACCATTGTGATTTCCTATGCTTAGACTTCTTTATTTCTACCTTTGTAAGATTCAAAAAAAGCAACATATGAAGAATATTTACTTATTTCAAATAGGGTAACCTCAAATTAATTACATGTGCAATTTGTGAGTGCATAAATATTTCTTCCACAAAACTATTTAGCTTGTCAAATTTAAAATAAATTATCACGGTTCTTATAAAAATCATTTTCAATATTAACATATACACATAGAGTTCTAGCATGAACAAAGGAAGAGGTACTATTTACCCCAAACACCAAATGATTGGGAATACTTTATTTGGGAGACAGGGGGCCAAGTTTTCAACACAGGGAATACTTTTAAAAATTATACTCACTTGTACAAAACTCAGCTGGTTTGGACCATTCTAAATTCTGAAGGCAAGTTAGTGTTCCTGATCGACCAGGTACCCTTCTGTACCCCAAACGGCACTCATATTCCACAGTGGACCCAACTGGAAAATAATTCTGGCTGCTATAAATCTTTTTGAGCATTGCAAACTGTAGCTGGGGTGAAACGTTACAGCTACCTAAAAGTATTAACAAAAGCAACAACAAAACAAGTATCACTCTTTATTTCATAATCTATGTTTAATTATCTGGAATATTCTTAACTTTAAATCACCCTCGTTTTTACTTCTTTGCACATATTTAGTATTTAAATATATTTATATCACTATGGCATTTGCAATGTATCAACAGTATTTACATGTATACTTTATTTCCTAGTTACTAGAGGTCTGGGAATAATATTTGGTAAACAGATGTGATTATCCCCATTTTCAAAAAATATAACCCATTTAAGTTGCCTGGCACAGTTCTGGCATTCCACAAATGTTGTTTCTCTTACCTGCCCTAAGAAATTACAGAGCACCGTAAGGTACAGGGATAGACGAGAACCGATTATTTCGAGACTCCTGGACTGACATCAGGCACAACGGCAATTCAAAGCAATCACAATAGCTAATTTTACTGAATACATCTAAATGTTTTACACATAAATTCATTTAATTACCACAAGAAGCCATGGGGATAAGGATCAGATGAGCCAACTGTGTGTACAAAGTGTTTACAAGCTGTAAACAGCCAGGAAAATGTGGATCTAGAAAGGCATGGTAAAGTGGAAGGAGCACTGGATTTGTAGTCAAAAAGCCCAAGTTTGGGCTTTGGTTCTTTGGCATAAAAGCTCCTGATTTCCAGGAAGTTATTTACCTTCCAGGGACCTGTTTCCTCAACTGTAAAAATGGGATAAGAATCCCTACTAACCTCATGAGGTGGTTTGGAGGATTAGATAAAGTAACCTGTGGAAGAGTTATAAACTCTAAAACATGATACATGTGTAAAGGCTTACTTCATCATACTATCTCTATCATGCATACATAAAAATAAAAAGTTAAAGCCCATTTCACACATGGTTTCAAAAAGTATTTGTGGCAGTTTCTATATTTACTGTCACTTCAGAGCTATTCAAAGGCAGGTATCAAATCTTATCTGTTTTGTTAAGTCTTATTTTTATCTTTACTTGTATATCACAAAGTTAATGGAGGACTATATGTATAATAGATTTTTTTCCTCCAAGATAATGCTAACATATATTTTACTGAACAAAAGGGCCCATGAGATGTGGATGATGCAATGTACATTTACCCAAAGCAAATATCTTCATTGCTTTTATTTCTATGGGCTATCTTAGTATTCAACACCATTACTATGTTGACTCTAAAACAACTCTTCACTGGGCCTCTCATTCATTTTTTAAAATTCATATATATATTTTTCACAGCAATCAGAAGATGTGGGATGTTCTCAACACAAAGAAATGATAAATGTGATGGATATCCTGATCACCCTCATTTGACCATTACACATTGTATGTATGTGTCAAAATATCACATGCACCTTGTAAATATGTTCAATCATTCTGACAGATTGAAATAAATATTAAGACCTTTTTAAAATGTCATGATAGAGTTGGATTTGGTAAGTTCTACTTTACAAAATGGAATTTAAGAAAACAGATCACCTATGATATGTGTCTCAAGGTAATTGCCAAATATTTTCATAATTTACTGTCTAAACAGTACCTTTTGTTTATTTTCTCTGTTAGCCTGTTCAGGAGATACACTGTTAGGAAGAAAACTCTTAATTAAGAACCATGGGGTTCTCATGGAAGTAATGCCTTCAATTAGCTCGAGTATTAAGTACCAACTTGGTATCCCCCGCGGTTTAATAATGCTAGAAAACTATCAATTACCAATCACTCCAAAGAGAGATAAAAATAAACTTAACAAGATACATTCCAATCTCACAATTTTACTTTAAAAAAAGAACTTACGGTTACAGAATTCTGAAATCTCTGACCATTGATCATTCCCAAGACAGATTACTGAGTCTGTTTGGCCAGGAACTTTTACAAAGCCTTCATTACATCTGTATGTTACTGTGCTATTCACCGGAAAACTTGAAAGACCTCTCAAGTCCAGGTGGGCATTAGGTACTTCTGGGGGAGAGCTGCAGTCACCTAGGCAGGAAAAAGGGGAACTGAAGGAAATACCTTTTTGAAATGCATGCATAGCAATATTGTTTCCCCAAGACTTAGAATAAAGGAAGCAGCAAAGGCTTTTGATATACATATACTATTTCCACCCAGTGCTCAACTGACAAACATGGAGAACATGCTAGGCTTCGTGTCTTGTCAAATAAGAGAAGACTAAAATAAGCCCAGAGTAAATAAATCCCACCTCTTCGTTATTAAAACAAAAGTGGCTTAGAATTTATTCAGTGTCCACGTACATGCCTTTGCTAGGCACACCTAAGACAGAGACCCCCTTGTTACACTGTACCTGAAGGAAATGACAGGAAAGTGGGTAGCGCCATGTGTGGCACCTGACAGGACTCTGTGCTGAGAGGCGGGAGCGGTCAGCTATTCGTCCTCCCACCCTTTTAGACAAGCTTGTTGGGGGGAATTCACTCTCTGGGAGCCCTCCCTTTTGCCTTTCCCGGTCTGGCTGCTAGGCAAACTCAGCCCAGGCTTCCTTAGCCCTCCGCGCCCACCCCTGAAGCCATGCCAGCTGGGGTCCAGCACGGCAAGGTCTCCCAAAAGCTGGCTGGCGGTGGGGCTCCTCTTCCGGCCCCAAGGAAGTCGGAGCCTTGCGCCTTAAAGGTAGAGGATTAGGGGAACAAGGACCCACGTCCACTTTCCTCACCTCCCAGGTCCCCAGGCCCTCTGCGTGGTCACGGAGACCAACCTAACCCTCAGTATCCACCCCAAACGGAGCCCAGGGGCTGAAGGAGCCGGGCTGGGTCCACGGGCCGCCACTCACCCCGTGCGGCTGGTGGCCACAGTAGCAGCAGGTACAGACAGCCGAGACGCAGCACTGTGGGGGCGCTCGGGCGCGCGAGACTCATGGCGGGAACAGGAACCCGGACCCGGGACTCCGCCTAGTTTGCAGCCAGAGGAAGCCAGCGGGAGCGAGGAGCTCAGTGTAAGAACACCACCGAGTAAACTCTCAGAGGACAGTTCTATTAAAGTCTTGGCGGGGGCGGGGCCGGGGCTCTGTTTTACCGACAGGGCGTGGCATAGAGGAGGGGTTTGTTGAAGTGAAAGGGACTGGGCGGGGCTCACGCGTCATCCGCCCCCGGGGAACCCAGACTCGGGAAGACTGGTTCCGGGACCATGGAAGAGTGCTCATGTACAAGACATCATGACTTTCTATTTCTACTGCTTCGTGGGGCCTACAATGGGTTGTCGGCTGGATAGGTATTATAAATATCTGCTTGCTAAGAAAAAAAAAAAAAAAGAAAAACCGGAGCGGACATGGGAGAGGGTAGTGGTTCAAATAACGCAGGCATCCCTTACCTGGACTCTGAGTTGGTTTTAGGGGATCTCAGCGTGTCATAGCTGAGCAGTGAAATTCAGGAGCTGAGAAAGGGTGACCATTGAAGGGCCATTGCCTTCAACTGGGAGATCTTTACTGCCAAGGTCAGGGTTGGAGAAAAAACTACTTAATGCTTTGTCTGCTAAGACACTCCATCATCTAGAAACTGCAAGTGTGAAACGACCTAAGAAAACAGGTCCAGCCACATGGCAGGGAGGGATCATTGTTCATACCATGTTTGGGCGGCAATCATATTCTTCACCTGGGTTCTCCTATTTAGCAAGGACAACTCTTGAATTCCACCTTAGGATTGTTCTAGTGTGACTGCAGATAGAAATTCACCACCCCGGAGTGTTTGTGTGCCACAGGTGGGAGAAGATGACAACAAAAACAAACTAGCCCCAGAAAGTTAAAGGATGTCTTGGTGGATTTTAAAAGAAAGGTTTGTTACAAGACCCTTAGAACAGCCTGCGGTTTGCAAGACTGGCCACACATTAACATCACATGGGGATCTTTTTAAAAATCCAGATATCCAAGCTGCACCCCAGACAAATTAAATCAGAATCTCTGGGAAAGGGATGGGGTATCAGGATTATTTACAGTGCTCCACTGTGCAGCTAGGTTTGGGAACCACAGATCTATATAGTACTGGTCAGAGTAAAGGTTCGTTCAGCCCAGCAGTGCCCTTGTCAAAAATACTAAAGGATACTGATGGCAAGATGGGTTGCTCATCTTCCTGGAGAATAGCTCGAGAACATATTTCCCTTTAGTAATTTACCTAGGTCTGGTTAACAGAGTCCTAGTCTAGATTCCTTTCCCTTAAATGCTTTACCTGATTAGGTGAAATCCCTCACTTGGAACTGTATGTTGGTCCACGGACCAGCTGTGGGAATGTTTGTTATATCCTATCATGTTATTCTTTTCCTGAGTGCTTTCTGGTAGCTCTTATGGTTAGTATGAGCTTCATAAAGTGGAAAACAGCACTTTTCAACAATAGGGTTTTCTCTGGCTCATGCTTACCATACTGAACCAGACCCTGCGTTGCCTAGTGCTGGATCCAATCCTACAGGAATTCAAGGAAAGGGATATCCTATAGGATTTCATTGAAAACTAATAGGATTCAAATATTTTAGAGTTTAGAAGTTGCAGGAGTGGGGGAGAGGTGCTTTTAAAACCATCTAGTATGATCCTCATATTTGATATTAAAATATCTTTTACTCTCATGTTTGAAATAAACTATGTCAAGGCCCAGCAGTATTTTAAAAGTAGTACCAGGTCTTCATTTACTCACCCAAAGATATTCTCATGACCTTCACCACCACTCCCTTCTCTAATGCCATTATAGACATGTAGTCTTCATTCCTACCTGGGCACACAGAGTTGGTGTGAAAGGCAAGGTCACATTATGAAAAAGAGCTGAAGATCAAGACCAGTTATGGAGCCGTTGGAATACTTACTTAACAATGAGGCCATTTAAACCTAAGTGTTTATTAAGTGAATGTCATAGCTTTTTAACTAGAGAAAATAATGAGATCTGCATTCGCCTTCAAAAACACTTTGTTCTGGATTATATATATATATATATATATATATATTTAGATAGTCTTGCTGTCTCCCTGGCTAGCGTGCAGTGGTGTCATCATAGCTCACTGCAACCTCAAACACCTGGGCTCAAGTGATCCTCCTGCCTTAGCCTCCTGAGTAGCTGGGATTACAGCTGTGTACCACTACATCCAACTTATTTTTTCTATTTTTAGGAGAGTCAGGTCTCAGGTTGCTCTCCAACTCCCAGCCTCAAGCAACCCTCCCACCTCAGCCTCCCAGAGTGCTAGGATGACAAGCATAAGCCACCTCACCTTACTGGTAATATTTTTTTAAAGAAACTTTTATGACAAATAACTGGGTGGACTCTTAAATAATACTTATAACTACCCGAATAATTTAAAATCCTGAGAGGAAAGAGAAAAAGAAATCCACTATGCAATTATTGATTTTAGAAAATGGACCTATGATAAAATTGTAAGCATTAAAATTACTTAATCAAACATGGACATTTATGACTTACTGAAGATCGTTTTAAAGAATGGGGTCAGTTTGTTGTATTTCAGTCACTTCATACACAAACTTTTTCACCATTTCACCAACACAATTTCATGAAATGAAGATAACTATCCACATTTTACAAATGAAGAAACAGGTTGAAAGGTTGTTTCCCAAAGTCTGTGCAGCTAACCACATGACCAGGACAGAATCTAAACCTAGTTTGCTTCTAAAACCTATATTTCTTCTACCCTACCGCACTACATTCTTCTTACTGAAATCAGTCAGCAAAAATGTCTTCTCTGTGAAAGACACCAAATAGGTATTTTAGGAAGTGACTTGGAAACCCAGGGGCTTTTGGTGTGAGCAGTAGTCCCAAGGCTTCAAGCTTCATCTATTATCAACTAGCTATGTGTTTTCAGCTGAGCCATCACTCTCCCCTTCAGGGGCCCATTTCCACATGGATTTAAAATATTTGGTGCTAAAATAGTCTCCATAGAGCTTTCTAATCCAAAATGACAAATTTATGTAATTAGGTCAAAAAACTTAAAGAAAATGGGCTTATGCCTTTGTCAGAGTTAGAGAACACAACTCTCAGCCTTGTCCCAGGAACCATGCGATGACTAACAGAGACTGTTTAGTAAACTAGGGAGTGCCTAGTACTGACAAGCAAGCTAAGAAAGTGTCAATACTTGCATTTAAGAATCCATAATCTACAAGGAGGTTTTCTGTGACAAGTGCTGTGCGAATGCCATAGCCAAAGTGGTGTGGGGCTTCAGAGAGAAGAGAATGGAGCCTGGCATTTGGGAAGGGTGAGGCTGATGGCCTAGTGATTTGGCTAAATGTGATGAGTGAATATCAGCACTGTGGTGCAAAATATAGGAAAAGAGACAATGAGCAAAGATTGGGGTCAGGAAAAGGTCTCTTAATTCCAAGAATAGTAACGAGTTTAGTTTAGGGAGGATATAGGAAACTGAATTGGAGCAAGAGAAGAAGAGGCTGAGCGGCTAGAAAAAGACTTCAAACCACCTTAAATGAAAGACCTTTGCCTTTCAAACTATTTAGAACCATTTAAAAAACTGTTGAAGCTTGTAAGCAGGGAAGCACATGGTTACTCTGGAACTTGTATACAAGATGATGGAATGGGAGTAACTCTATAAGCGAGACCTAATTTAGCTAACTGTACTATAATCCAGGCATTTAAGATTAGACTGCAAAAATTTTTTTTAATTTTAGAATTTTAAAATTAATAAATCCATATTAAGAAATAAAAGTCCTATTACTCTGTAAGGACCCATTTCGTAATTATTATAGGCCTTTGAATTTCCATTGCTGCTCCAACCAAAGAAGTTTTAAAGTAAGACCCCACAGAATTTGATGACTGATTAGATAAAGAACAAGAAAAAAAAGTGTTAAAGATGACTGAGCAGTTTGGAGTTTGTGAATCTGGGAGCCCTATTGAAAAGAACTATCTATTCCAAAGTCAGGAGGTGAAGGAAATAACACATTTGGCTTTACGCATGTTGGATTTATAATGCCCTGGCAGGCTGTCTACGTGGAGGTGTACAGCAGTGGTGGAAATAGAGGCAGGACTGAGCTGGAGTGGACAGAGACCTGGCTGCAGGTGAGGTAACCAAGAGAGAGAGTGAAAATCTAAACACAGAGAAGGCCAAGGGGTGAGCCCTGAGGAACCCTCACATTAGACAGTGCAAACAATAAAGGGAAAGGAAAAAGCAGTGGAAAGGGAAGAGGATAATGCAATTTTATGAATGCCAAAGCCTACAAGACTGTGAGCTGAATACTAATCACCCTTGTTGTAGGTCAGGCAGCTGTTGTTTAAAGAAGTCAGGTAACTTGCCAGCCATAGAGCTGGATTTAGGAACTTAACACCTCCGGTAGACTTCAGGCATCACTCTTCCAGGAAATCCCCCTAACCGTGACATCATGCCCCGGTACCTTCTTCCAAGTACCTCATGTGCCTATCAATTCCTCACATCTAAGGAACCAGTCTGTTTTCATATGTGTGTTTCATAGTCATAACTCAGCCTAGAATTAATCTCAAACATATATTAAAATGGCCAAGGAGGCACAAAAGCTTCATATTGAGGCATTTTTGTCATGCAGCTGCAGTTCTGCTTAGCAGAATACGTGAAGTATATTTTTGAAAAATAAATGAAAACAAATGAGCAGACACCTCTTTGTTGTAAAGAAGTTGCATTCTCCAGGAATTCATTAATCAAGATATCATTGTACTGCTGTAGACATAGTAAATTTTTTTCGTCACAAGGTGTAGTTTCGACAGTTTCTAGTAGAAGTGGCTTAATACCCCGTGACATTTTCACATGACAGGATAGCATCCCACCCTGCAGCTGGTTTCTCTCCATGTGTGAGAGAAGCTCAGAAGCCCCGTGGAAATTGAGTGCTTGACTTTCTTTGCTGAGCCCTAGTTTTCTGACATAGCAGTGAATTTTTGCTGCCAAAGTGGAGGTAGAAGCAATGGCAAGAAAATGTGTGTGTGTGTGTGTGTGTGTGTGTGTGTGTGAGCAAGTGTGTGATGGCAGACAACATAGCACGGGGACTGAGTGGGCAGCTTTGGGATTCAGACAGACTTAGGCTCAAATATTCATACTGTTGCTCCCCTGCTTTCTGTGTGGCCCAG